CCAGCTTGCTTGTCTCTGTATCCCTCCAGCTTGGATCTGGAAGCCTGGAGCTGGAAGTTGCAGTACTGTAGGTGGTGGACACAATGTTCAGAAGATGTGTTGATACGCAACTATCATCTCTGGCTCCCATGAGTCCAAGGGAGTTGCTGAGTACACAAAGAGATGATCTGATCTGAGCCACACCCTGGGGGGTTTGATCCGCTTTCTCCCACAGCATGAAAAACTCAGTTACTCTATTACTAGAGATCCTCAACCATGGATCTAGGACTGTCCTAGTTTAAAGCAGTCTATTTCTACTCCTCCACAAAATCCCACTAAAAGTCCAGGGAGAAATTGTAAGAGGTACATATCTATAATAACAGAGTGAATGTCAGTGGAACTGTCAGTAGAGGAAAGTAAATGCTTTCTGGAAGATGGAAAGTGGATGGAAGGATCACCCTAACTTACAAAACAGAATGGCTTCAGAGGAGGATGCGGGAGGGTAGGAAGCTGAGTTCTGAGAAGGACTCTGAAATCGGGGTATCTGTATTAAAGAATACGAGGATGAAATATAAGTATAAACAGAGGGGCTGATTACAATTCTCTAAATGGAGAGGTTGGAACCCAGGTCTCCTACCCCATCGCCTTCTCCCAATAAAGGACATAAGACCCTTTCTTCAGAGATTCAGCTGGGGGGCTCCATAATTAAGGACTGCAGGAAGGGCAAGGGCGCTGACGGGTAGAGGGCTGGACCAAAGGGCTCAGGTGGAACCCTACTTACCTGCCAGCCCCAACTCAGGCCACAGGTCAGAGGAGTCTCTACTGGAGAAGCTCAATGAGTCCAGAGGCCAGACTCCTACAGTATGACAGAGTCTCCCAGTCAAAAGGCACCCCACTGCACCTAGGAGAGGCCTGCTGCTTGTACAAGCCCTACCCATGCAGTTTCCAATGTGTGATTTAGTACATTATTCTTTTTTTTTTTTTTTGGTTTTTCTCCGGTACCGGGAACCGAACTCACGACCTTGTGCTTGCCAGGCAGGCGCTTTTGCCACTGAGCTAAATCCCCAACCCCTAGTACATTATTCTTAAAGCAAACAAAAAAATTTGTTTTTTATCATGTAAAATTGTTTATCATGTAAAATTGCACACATACATACATGCACACAAAGTAGAATAATACAGTGAACTCTGTATACTCAATAGCAGCTTAAAATCTTGCACGATTATCAGCTCACAATCACTTTTGTTTCATCTGTAGCCCCCACTTATCTGTTCTGCACCACTTTGAAGCAAATGTCATCCATATCATGCCATCTATTACTTTAGTATGAGGTATTGGGGTGCAGCTCAGTGGAAGATCACTTGCCTAGTACATGTGAAGCCCTGGGTCTATCCCCATGGTGAAAGAAAAGAAAGAAGAAAGGAAGGAAAGGAAAAATGGTTTCAGTTGTTTGAATCAGGATCCAAATACATTGCAATTTGTTAATGACTCTTATGTGTCTTTTAAATATTTCCTGTTTTTCTTTTTGTGTAATTTATTTATGGAAAGCACCCAATCATTGTCCTATAGTATCTACCCTTCTGCTGATCCAGGTGGAATAACCTAACATTCCTCTGTATCACCTGTGTCACCTATAAAGTGATGTTAAATCTACACACTTCAATTTGGATTCTGGCAAGATTACATCATAGGTGTTATTATATGCTTCCCTTTGGAGGAAGGTACATAGAGTCTTATTTTCATCTCTTTTTTGATGTTCACTTCCATTGCTGATCATTTCCTGGATCCACTCACTCTTTAGTTATTACAACAAATTAAAGGGACTACTCCTAGACCAAACCTCTCATGTACTCTTTGCTTCCCCCGTGATAAGGTCATGTAGGAAAAGCAAGAGAAATGTTTTCTGCTGTACAGGAGAGAGAGAACCCCTCTACTGTCCTTGGGTTCTTTGGCTAGAACTAGAAACCAAATTAATGCAAGGCTATTTAAGAGAAAAGCATACAAATTTCAGTAATCTTACATGCACCTGAAGTTCTCCACATAAAAATGTGGTCCAAAGAAATGACCAAAGCAAGATGTTTTATAGGGGTCAGGATGTAGCTCAGTGCCACAGTGCCTGCCTGGCAAGTGCAAGGTCCTGAGTTCAAGTCCTGGTACCCACCCCCAGAAAGAGATACTCTTATGCTTTTTAGACAAAGAACAATAAAAGAATGGTGGAACAGATTGATCTCTGAATTACAGTAGTAAATTCTAGGGATGTCACCAAGAGATATATTGTGAGAGAACAGTATAAAAGCTAATGGAAGATAAGACTTACTCCAATGAATTAATTTATTCAGGTTCATTACAACTCAATTACCAGTTTCTGTATGACTAGTATAAGAAGACACCCAAAAAAGAATCATAACGGCTTGCTGATTTTAGGAAAAAATGGGCTAAGTGACCTTTTCTAAAGTTCCAGTTCCCTGTGTGACATCAGCTTGAAATAATCAATATACCAGTGTGGCACATTTTGAGATGGCTTACATTCACTGAAATCAGGGTTACTAACTGGTACTAGTTTTTATGTATTTGCAGTAATGTGACTACTGATGTTGATTTTAACTAACATATGAAATAATAATAGAAGGATGGGAAGAAGGAAGATATGTGTGTGCTCTGGGATGGGGTGATGAGATAGGTAAGAGACAAAAATCTTTCCCTTGTCATAGAGTTAAAAGAAGTCTAAGCCAGGCGTGGTGGCGCACGCCTGTAATCCCAGCACTTGGGAGGCTGAGGCAGGAGAATCGTTGTGGGTTCGAGGCCAGCCTGAGCTACAAAGTGAACTCAAGGCCAGCCTGAACTGCATGGGGAGACCCTGTCTCAAAAAGACCAAAAATAAATAAATAAATAAATAAAAATAAAAGAAGTCTAAAATTGATACATGCTTTTGAGCAATTTGTTTTCAAAGAAAACACAGAAACAGCTAAAAGAATTGAAAGTGGTTGTCGAGGGGGTAAAGGATTTAAGAACAGGAGGAGCAGATTGCTTGGGTTTTAATTAATAAATTTTTTCATTTTTTTAGACTTTGTGTATCACTACCTCGATAAAAATAATCTTTCAAATAAAATAACTCCAAAAAGCCCATTCTGTGCTGTTATCATTACAAATATGCACAGCCTTTTCAGGCCATATGGTCTAACTTTTGGTTCAGGAAATCTGTTTACCAGGAGAGACTCCAGGATGTAGCAGAAAGAGCTCATTCAACGCTGGGGTCAGTTGTCTGGATTTGCATTGGGGTTGTTGTTTACTTACTATGTGGCTGTGGGCAAATTTCTCAACCACTTTGGGCTTTAGTTTTCTTGCCTTTAAGTTGAGCATAAGGCTATTTCATTGGCTGTTTTGAAAATCAAAGAAAGTCTCAAGTCCCTGACACAGTGCGTGTTCCATCGTTGAATTCAGTGTGATTAACTTTTCTTCAGTGTGCACCCCTGAGGTCCCAGTGAGGCTCCCACCCTGAGGAAGAGGCTGACCCCTTCAGTGCAGCCCTGTTAGCGGGGACCCCACAGTCCCAACAAGGCCCTTTGTCCATACAGTCTTCCCACAGCCGCCTGCTTTCCAGAGCTTTCGGCTGGACATCCATAGTGTTTGCGGGTCATACTCTCTTCTGCTCCCATGGAACCTAAGGCTTCTACTACACCTCTCTTTTCTCTGATCAGGCTTAGCCTGAGAGCTGATGGGTCCTGAGTCTGACCATGCTCAGCTGTTCCTGTTCAGATGAACCCTGCAACTCTGTGACCAGAAGCGAGGGGCTGTTTGCCTTTCTCTGGCATTTAGGAGAAGTAAGGCCCACGCTGCAGGCCTGGCAGGACGCACACAGGTCTGAGGGGTGGCCTGACTGAACTGGTCACCCAGCTCCGGAACCCAAGGTCTGCAGAAGTCAGTCTCGCTCTGCCCCAGAGCAGCCATCTCCAGGTGTGGGTGGCCCAGCCTGGAAAGCAGAGAGCAGCAAGACTCTCTGTCCCCTGGCTCCCTTCCCACAGCGCTGCAGGCAGCAACTTCACAGCCAGAAGCAGCTTTGTTAGACATTAAATGTGGATGGGAGAGCTGCTTGCTCAGAGTCTCTCCTCCAGGGCAGGTATGCAGTTCATGTGTATATGTGGGACCTAGAAATGCACAATTGCCTTGCCTGGATGACAGGGGATCACTCTTCCCTTCGACTGCTGCCTGGTGAGAAGAGATGGAGGGGATGCTGGGTGCAGATGCTTGTACTCTTAATGCCATGGGCGCATGAAAGCTGTGTCCCCAAACACCTTACACTACACTCAAGCATGAGGGATTCCGCAAGGGAAACAAGAAGGGAAGCGCGGACAGCATGGGGTGGGGAAGAAAATTCAGGAAAGACGTCCTGGGCCCTGGAGACAGTAGGATAAAGAGCAAAGACATACTCAGCCTTTGGCTTCAGAGGAGTGGAGGTTCCTGACCCCACTGCACCGCACACCAGCTGTGTAATCTTAGTTGCGTAGAACCTCTGTTTCCTCTGCAGTTGGGGAAGGGGCATGTTGCAGGCTTATAAGGGGGAGCTGGAATCTCCCAGGTCTTGCGTTTCCAGAGAGCCTCCACCACCTTCCCCGCAGTCAGGGGACATGGCTGCTAATGGAGGCACATTCCCCACCTCCCGGTCTGGGCCTGGGGTGGCACTGAGAGTCATTCTTGGCCCCTCGTAGTTACCTGGCTGACCTGGGGAGGTCCTAGGATAGCCATGCAGGGATGATGGATCCTGCAGAAGCTGGTGCGCCAGGGCTCTTGGCCCTACACAGGCAGGGAGAGTGCTGAGCTCAGGAAATGTCCACTTGTTCAGGCCTGTGAGTAAGGAGATCTGGTGGCCCTCCCAGGTCCCTTGGATGTGATGACAAGAGCCCTCACCCTGAAGCCTGCCCTGACCCTTTCCCGGCTTCCTGCCTACTCCCGACACAGGCTGCTTCCTGCCTGGTAAGGAGTGGCAAGGAGTGAACCCTGTGATGTCCATGTTCTCCCACAGGCCACAGAGTGGGCCTCCAATGAGGACACACGCCGCTCCTGCCAGAGCAAAGGGAAGACTGAGGTATGTGGTCTTGGTGGCCCCAGGGGCCCTGATTGGAGCTGGCAGGAAGTTGGTGCCTACAGCACGGAGGGACATGGCAGGGGTGTGACATTGCCTGCCCCGAGGTCTGGCCCGGATGAGGGGGCTCTGTGTGTAGATGAAGAAGTCCACAGACGTGAGCTGGATGGCACTTGGCCAGAGCTGGGGAGGGAGGAGGGCTGTAGGACATTCCTGGCATTGGTGGTGCCACTGTGTGAGGAGAAGACTCCAGCATTACCCACAGAGCGTTGGCCTGTTGTTCTCCCTCTTGCCTCAGGAAGAGTGCCAGAACTACGTGCGGGTCCTGATCGTCGCGGGCCAGAAAGTGTTCATGTGTGGCACCAATGCCTTTTCCCCCGTGTGCTCCAGCAGACAGGTGGGGGCCGGGAAGGGGTGCGGGGGAAGGTCTTTTGCCTACATGCAGAGCCTTGGCATGGGACTGCCAAATGGAACCCGAAATCAAAACATACAAGGATGCCCAGTTAGATTTGAATTTCAGGAGAACAGCAAGTGATAGCATAACCACGTGCAATGCACTATTTGGGACAAACTTATAAGTAAAAATTATTCATTCTCCATCTGGAGCTCAAATTCATCTGGTCCTTCTGTACATTATTGATCAGCATGGCCTGGAGGGTCCCCCTGGTGGACCCATGGAGCTTCTGGCAGGACCTCGTTCACCATGATGGTACCTCCATAGAGGGGCTGTGGATGGACAGGGAAGAGGCCCCAGACACCAGGGGCTGAGGAGGAAGCAGAACTGCTGGCTGGAAAGAACCAGCAGCCCCAGAACCTCTGAGGAAAGTGTTCCCTTCTCCTACTGTCCCCAGGTGGGGAACCTCAGCAGAACTATTGAGAAGATCAATGGTGTGGCCCGCTGCCCCTATGACCCACGCCACAACTCCACAGCTGTCATCTCCTCCCAGGGGGAGCTCTACGCTGCCACAGTTATCGACTTCTCTGGTCGGGACCCTGCCATCTACCGCAGCCTGGGCAGTGGGCCACCACTTCGCACTGCCCAGTATAACTCCAAGTGGCTCAATGGTAAGGAGTCCCAGCCTGGGGTGGGCTCCCTCAGTGCTGACCTCAGTGGGCCCTCCTCCCTTCCTCCCCTCCACAGAGCTCCCACTCCTCCATCAGGGGAGATGCCCCAGGGCAGGGCAGATGTTTGTTCAGAGACCTGAGCATATCAGAGAGAGGCTCAGGGGGAAGCACAGATGTCCTGGGGACAGGAATTTGGTTAGGAAATGTGGTTGTGGGAAAGAAGGAGTTAGAAGCAGGGTGGTATGAATTTCCTGCCCTTCGGGGTTGAATCCCTGCTTCTCCCTAACTATGTAGCCTAGCACTTGTCTATAGTTTGTTTTGAAGATTAAATGGATTATCTGTAGAGAGTTCTTGTGACAGTGCCTGGTACCCCATGAGTATTCAGTAACACATGTGATGCTTGCTGCATTAGCCAAGTCCTGCTGACTTTGCCCGCTTCTTCCCTGCTGGCCTGACAGGCCCCATCCCTCTTCTGTACCCTAGAGCCAAACTTTGTGGCAGCCTATGACATTGGGCTGTTTGCATACTTCTTCCTGAGGGAGAACGCAGTGGAGCACGACTGTGGGCGCACTGTGTACTCTCGCGTGGCCCGAGTGTGCAAGAACGATGTGGGGGGCCGCTTCCTGCTGGAGGACACGTGGACCACATTCATGAAGGCCCGGCTTAACTGCTCCCGCCCGGGTGAGGTCCCCTTTTACTACAACGAGCTGCAGAGTGCCTTCCACCTGCCCGAGCAGGACCTCATCTACGGAGTCTTCACCACCAACGTGTGAGTCCCTGCCCTTTGCTGCCACTTCTCCGCCGTGCTCGGGACTTGCTCTGGCCTGGCCTTGCAGCCTGGTGAGCTCAGGCAGGCCCCTCTCGGTACCCTTGTTCCCTCATCTCTAAAGTGGGGGCTGTGTGTCTTCTGGCCTGGGGCACCCAAAGACATGGTGGCTTATTGCCTGTGCAGAGGAGTGGTAAGCACCTGTGCTGGGTTGCTGGGGAGGGCAAGCCTGGGCCAGACATGCAGAAAGGAAGAGGAGCTGGATTTTGTCCACAAGGGAGAATGAAATAGGGGTGAAAGATAGAAGCCTGTTTTGGACGAGGTGGGAGGGGGCAGCCCTGGGAGGCTCAGCAGAGAACACTCCCTCCAAACCCAGGACACCACGATGCTGCTAAATGCAGCCAGCAAAGGGTTCTGGCAGTGCTGCACCACCTCCCATCTAGACTGCACTGAAAAGCCCAGGCTGGAATTCAGAGCCCCTTTTGTTTCCTAGGTGTGAGGAAGGGTGACCTTCCCGGAGAGCATGAGACCCTCCTCCCACCGCCTGCTCTGGGTAGAGGCTAACAAATCAGGTGATTTTCCTGTGGAGAGTGATGAATGGGTACCAGAGACTGAGCAAGGTTTTACTGGACAGGATGCTGCGCAGGGTTCTTTGTAAGGATGTCAGAAACATGTGAGCCCCAGCGTGGTGTCTGCCTGCCTGGGGTCCTAGGGGCTAGTCAGCTCTGAAAAGGACAGTCTGAGGGGATGGGCAGGGATGAGACTAAGGCCAGGAAGCAGGAGCAAAGAAGCCACAGCCCAGGGGGACCAGCCTACATCATATTTTCACAGGCCACCAGCTGAAAGCCAGCTGTGGCCAGCTGTCAGCCCTGGAGGGTGGGTGGCCATGAGCCGAGGGCAGGAGCAACAGGAGAGGCAATAAGAGAAAAGGACAGCATCAGCGGGGATTGCACTTAGTGTATTTATTGCACACCTCCTGTGCATAAGGTACTTGTCCTGATGGGGGCAGGGCCCAGCAAGCAAAAGCAGTCATAGTTCTGCCCTCAAGGAACTTACATTCTAGACTGGGAAAGAAATATTACCAGCCGATACAATAGTGACATTGGGTTACTGGGGGGGGGGGCAGTGTGCAAAGAAGTTTTTAGTAGTGCAAAGGGGTGGTAGCCAGGGAAGGCTTCCTGTAGGAAGTCATTCCAACCCCAGGAAACGACATGGGGGAAGCGATGCTTCAGGAACTGAGCAGAAACCAGTGTGGCAGGAGGTTCGAAGGGGAGGAGGCTAAAGGGGCAGGCAGGGTGTGTGATCTTTACCCTAAGGGCAAGGAGAAGGGTCTGAAGCGGTCCAGTGGATGTGTCTTGAATGCTCACTTTGACTGCTATGTGCAGAACAGACAAAGAGCCTAAGGAGGCTGCAAGGAGACCAGAAGGATGTGCAACATCCGGGGGGCACAGAGGGGCTGGGACCAGACAGACAGGAGGAAAGTGGACTCATCTGGGAGAGGGACCCATGGGGCCCTGTAATTCTGAGACTGAAAGGGACTTCCATGGCATCTGGTTCAGAGCGATGCAAGGATGCAGCATAAACAAGTAGTTTGGTAACCAGCTGTTTAATCAACAAATCAGAATAGGGTGGAATGAAAATATGGGAAGAATGTATGGGTAATTACATTCTTAGTCTGGGTAAGTATCGTTTGATGAAACTTTAATATAGATGTGTGAGTACTGTACCAAGTTATAACAAAAAATGTGTCTCGCACTGTGGGACTAACACATCTAGAACCCACTGACTGTTTCCCACCTCTGGGAGAACAGAGGGCATGAGGAAGTGCTCTGACCTGCCGGTGCTTCTAGTCAGTGGGTCTCCTTGCTCTGAGACACCCCCCGTGGTGTAGAAAGCACCTGGCTCATCCTACAAGCTTCCGGAAACTGGGAGATGGGGCATGACAGCTGGCTGTGGGACGTCAGAGCGGGGTGTGGGACCCACAGGGACAGCGGCATCCTGCCCTCTCCTGCCTTTCAGAAACAGCATCGCAGCTTCTGCCGTCTGTGCCTTCAACCTCAGCGCCATCTCCCAGGCTTTCAATGGCCCCTTTCGTTACCAGGAGAACCCCAGGGCTGCCTGGCTCCCTATCGCCAACCCCATCCCCAATTTCCAGGTACAACGTCTCCTCCCTGCCCCTCCCCAACTGATTTCCATTGGGCTAACCCAGGTCAAAAGCAGCCCTAATCCTGCTGGCTCATACCCATCTTTGGGGTCTGGGATGGATAGCCCAGACCTCTTTGCCTTCCCCAGTCCTCTTCCCTGCAAGTCCCTTCTCCCCCACCTCTCCAGCCTCATTTTTCTCTTTGTTTTTTTTTTGTTTGTTTGTTTGTTTGTTTTGTTTTGTTTTTGTCTTTTTGAGACAGAGTCTTGCTATGCAGTTCAGGCTGGCCTTGAGCTCACTTTGTAGCCCAGGCTGGTCTCGAACTCGCAGTGATCCTCCTGCCTCAGCCTCCCGGGTGCCGGGATTACAGGCGCGCGCCACCACTCCCGGCTTATTTTTCTCTTTGAAAAAGGCATCCTTCTGTGGAAAAGGTTCAGGGTCGTAGCAGGATACTAGGGGCGGGCGATATTGGAGATTGACCCGAGGCCACCAGGGTTATAATGAGGAAGGGGTGGAGAGAGGATCACAGCTGCCTAGCGACGGTCTGGGGGCTAAGCACCCCCCACTCGGCTCCCCCGCAGTGCGGCACCTTGCCCGAGACTGGCCCCAACGAGAACCTCACAGAGCGCAGCCTGCAGGACGCGCAGCGCCTGTTCCTGATGAGCGAGGCCGTGCAACCCGTGACCCCTGAGCCGTGTGTCACCCAGGACAGCGTGCGCTTCTCACACCTCGTCGTGGACCTAGTGCAGGCCAAGGACACGCTCTACCACGTGCTCTACATCGGCACCGGTGAGCCGGCTCCACCCAACCGCGGCTGCAGCTTTGGAGGTGGGGAGCAGAGTGGGGCTGCGAGTTCCACAGTTTCAAGGCCCCCCTCGTCTGCACCCCCAGAATCAGGCACCATCCTGAAGGCGCTGTCCACCGCCAGCCGCAGCCTCCGTGGTTGCTACCTGGAGGAGCTGCACGCGCTGCCGCCTGGGCGCCGCGAGCCCCTGCGCAGCCTGAGCATCCTGCACAGCGCGCGCGCGCTCTTCGTGGGGCTGAGCGACGGCGTGCTGCGCGTCCCGCTGGAGCGGTGCGCTGCCTACCGCAGCCAGGGGTGAGAGGGCCGCGCCCGGCGGGGCGGGGCGGGGCGGGGCTTCCGCAGGAGGCCCACGTGGGTCGCGTTCCTTCGCAGTCTCTGATATGTGCTTTTGAACAAGTCGCTTAACCTCTCTGAAACGTCGTTGCCTCCGGGTGAAATATCTTGCGCATCAAGCACTTATCACTGCCTGGGAGAACCATGTGCCGAGCAAATCTGATGGCTGTGGCTATCCCTGTTGGCAACCCCACGGTTAGGGCAGCCAGCCTTCTCCAACTCGCTTGATTTACTCTTAACCCTGGATCAGAGAGAGGTCCTTACCTCTGAAACCACAGCTCTTCCTGCCACGAGGCAGATGACAGACAATGGAGGCAGATGAGAGGATGATCTGAGTGGGCCCCAGTCTTTGCCTCTCTTCCTTCCTTAGAGGAGGCAGCGAGAGCCTGCGGGTGGGGTGAGCTGAGGAGCCTCCTGGGGAGTCGCACCGGCTCCCACTCTTCTGAGATCTGGTCTCCGCAATACTCCAGGTGGAGTCACAAATTGGGCGCCAGTGGCACCAGCATTTAAGGGGGGAAGTGGAAATGAATCCTGGACTCCTAGCGCTAGAAGGCTGCACCTTCTTGTTTTTGTGGTCATCTGAAGTGCGCGTTGCCGCAGCCACGTGGACTTGTGTGGCCCTTGGATTGGAAAGTCCTCCTGGGTGTGCCATCCGGCCTTGAAATTTGGGAGGCAGATCGCATCCTTGCTGCCAAGGGGTGTTCTCCAGCCCCAGTGGATGCTGTGGTAGCTGGAGAGAGGCCAGCAGGGCGGGGAGGAGATTGTGGTTGTGGTGTGGCCCTCAAGGAGAGGGAGGGCAGTGTGCAGACACTCGACTCCCCTCATCCTGCCCCACGGCTCTGTCAGCAAGACAGCGCGCATTTGCAAAGCCCTGCCTGTTCAATCCTGCTGATGCGAGAATAGGCAAGGTGAATACATCTCAACACTTACTTCCTCGAAGCTTTCCCTAGCTTAGAGAGAGAAACCCCAACCTGTGGCTGCCATGTGGGGAGACAGAGGGAAGGATTCTACCACCTGGGGATCCACCTCGGTCCATCATCCACTGACTGCATTATCTTGAGCAAGTTAACCTGTTTGAGCTTTGGTTCTCTTACCAGGCAAATGGGAGGAAATTAATGGGGCAAATGACATTGGATTTAGGCAGAGTTGTAAGGATTGGGAGTGATGTTCACCAAGTGCCTAGTCCAGTTAGTCATAAGTACTGGCTATTATCTTTCTGTTTGGTATCTCCTCAGCTGCATTTAGGAGTACCCAAGTCTCCCGGGGACAGTCCCAGAATCTGTGATACTAAAAACAGACAGCACTGATTGCCAGTGAATCACAGGCTTCCTGCTGACAGCACTTCCCTCATCTTGCATGTTCGCCTTTGAAATTTGAGTTGTTAATCAACTTTTCATATATGCATTGTTTTCCAAAAGATTGTAAATCCATAGAAAGCAAAACCAGTGTCCCAGGATTCTTTACACTCCACCATCACAGAGACCTCACCCAACCCAGGGCACAACGTTCCCCTGCAGACCCAACCCAGGGCACCACAGGACGGATCCTTCTGCTGACTGATTACGTAGCCTGACAGGAGAGTGGTGCTAGAGAGGAAGCTAAGAATGGTACCTTTGGATTTTGATCTGAATCCTGTGGCTTCAGGCCCTGAAATGGTCTGGGAGTAGTGGAGTCTCAGGCTACATGGAAAGGTGTTTTATAAGGAGTGGTCACACAGTGGCAAGTGGCATTGTCATGGGGCAGGTAGAAGTCCTGGGTGAGCTGGTGTGGCTGTAACCCAAATGTGAAGCCCTGGGGTCTGCAGGGGAACAGAGCAAGGAAATGTGTTGGGCCATTTCTCCACTCACACAGCTCCTCAGAGTGGACGGGGAGGTTGTGTACAGGCCCGATCCCTGCCTTCCTGGAGCAGTGCTGTAGAGGGACAGCTTGGTGACTGATGCCTTCACCCTATCTGGTTTCCTGAGTTTGGGAAGAAGCCCTTGACCTGTGCAGTGAGAACCCAGCCACAAGGTGGATAGGTGGATTCAAAACTATGAAAGGCAGAGTCGCATTATTGCAAGTACATGCAGCCACCAGCTGTGTATTTCAAGTGTCCGGGAGCCTGTGGCCAATCACAGTAATCAGAATTTGCACTCTCACAGGGCACATGTCCCAGAGTTTACTGTGTCCTCAGACAGGCATTTCATGCTTATTTCTTAGTTCCTTCCAAAGCTGGCAGAGATGGGCAGAAGATCCTCCTCTCCTTGGCCCAGAATCCAGGGTTTGTCTCTACCCACCCCTCACTAGGACAAATCTCAGACCCACAGGGTGCAGATAAGACTCTGGCCTGGGCAGAGAGGACCAAAGTTCTTTAAAAATGGATTTTTAATGACTGAACCAATGCCTTCCTCTGGCAGACCTTTCACTCTGCCCTTAGGGACACCTTTACTACAGTTCACCCACAGTCTTCTGGGAGTCTGGGGAAGTGCCATCCACCGAATCATCTGCTTCTGACCAGGCCCTATTCCTCTGGCATCTTAAGTAATGACCACTTGTTCACAAGCCGCTGGGACAAGCTGTCTACGCTGGACAGCTCCCATGTGAGTGCAAGCTACATAGAGCTGGAATCTGCTTGCTGCCAAGTCCACCATCCGTCTCTGTCAAGCCTGCAAGCCCACAGAATGAACCTGTTCCCTTTTGTCATGGCTGCTTGAGACAGTGCAGTAAAGCAGGACGTGGTGACATGCTATTGGCCCGGTGGCTCCTTTTATGAAAAGAACTCTAAATTGCTTCCCGTTTCTATAGCCAGAGACACACTTTAACTCCGCTTGGGGCTTTCATTTTCTTAAGCACATTTCCTGTTGTGTGGGCTTTGGCCAAAAGCAGTCAGCGTAGATCCACCCAAGCCGAGGGGAGGGGAATTCTTCGGTTATTCTCGAGGAAAGAGCTCCAGAGAGCCTCAAAGGCCCACTTGGTCTGCCAGGGCCAGGCACGGGCAAAACAGGCTGTCTGTGGAGAATCTGATCACCTCTTTTTTCCCTGTAACTTAACAGAGACAGGAGAGGCTGAGAGGGCCTGGGGAGGGGAGGCTGGGCCAGCGTCTATCCTGCAATTTTCTTCCCTCCTTCCCTTGTGTCAGGGATCGGAGAAACAGGGCCCTTCGTTTGTTGGCTCAGGGCCCTGGCAAATGTGGCCTGGAACAGCAGTTCTCCGCCATGGCTATTCTTTGGAATCACCTGGGGCGTATTTAAGACTCAAGTGCCTGGGCCTCTTCCCATCTACAAGTCCACAAGGCCCAGATTCAGGCAGGCTCTTTGTTCTGTTTGCATAAGCATTTTAAAAGACACATGGGAGCCTCCCATTTGCTGGAATTACTGCTCTAGGACTCCTACACTGGGCTCCTCTGGAATCCTCTGCTTTTGTCTTATATAAGCCAATTCAGATTTTTCTGCCCTTAACCATTTTCTCCTCTGAAAGACATTTGTTTTTGATGGAACTTATTATTACTCATCACATGTCATGGCTAGTACTTATTTTGCCCCATTAATTTATGTTGCTTATAAAGTGCCACATTAGCTGCCTCTCACTGTTGATACCCCTTTCTGGGGACTGAGAGAAATAAACTCAGGCATGAGTTTTCCTGGGTTCACACTGGTATGATTCACTAGCCACCTTGTTGGGCTAAGGTGGTTGGGACTCCTCATGCTCATGGGTTGTCTGAGTCCCGTGATGCTCAGTTTGATAGATTCTGCTAATAAAACACCATCACATCAAATCACTGACTGAAGAGGAAAATAGGGGCACCCTTATATTGTAGCATTTACACAAACTGCTCTTGGACAAGCAAAGGGAAAACATTTGGAGCAACAGGTGAGGGGCCTGGATTACCAGGTGGGCCACAGGGCGCTCACTGGGGGTCCAGGGAGGGCCTCACACGCTGAGGCGCCAGTACTGCCTCACTTACACAAGGTCATGTGTCAGCCAGGAGCAGAGAACAGCACTCTTTTTTTCAGCCTCTTTTGGCAAGGGCAAGCCCTACCTTCCTTGTAGTCTTTTACCCCACCTCTTTTGTCTTCTGGAGCCTCACATGACTTAGCAAAATAAAGAACTCGCCTGAAGCTTCCAGACAACAGAAGACCCCCATCCTAAACACACCCAAAGCTGCAACCCCCTGGTTCTTTTGTGTAACCCTTTGCCTCTTAGCATCCTTGACCCCTTTGGCCATGGAAAATCCGTGTGCAAACTCACATAGTGCTGTGGAATCTCCCATCTGTCCTCCTGTGTACTTTGCAGTCCAGTACCTCCTTTCCCAAAGCCTCTTCCAGTTTTCTAATTTCTACCCAATGTTCTCTAGACCCTGTCCAGCAAGTGTGGTCCAGGAATGATGGCATAAGGGAGACACAGGATCTGATCTTAGCAATGGGCAGCAAATCCTAACTCCATAATCCTCAGGGACCTCTTTTTCTCTCTCTTGAGGCTCTATTAACACAGATTTCAATTTCTTGTTAAAAAAATTTGAAGAATACATTACATGGATAAATCAGAAGAAAAGAAGAGCCCTAGAATACAAGAAGTGGAGGTGTCTCAGGCATATGTGGATGTGTGAGCTTTTACCTTTTCTGGCCTCTGAAGAGACACCAGGCCTGAGGCCAGGGAAGGACAAACTGCATCCTACCCTTTCCCAGCGGCTCAGCTCTTTCTCACAATGCACTGGACTCTGCTTTCTGTCGCCAAACAGCACAGATGGAGGGACCCCAGGTGCCCCCCGACTGTGTCTCGAGGATGAGCTCACTTTCACCCAGGTGTAAAGTTAGACATAACCTCAAGCTAAGAGGAAGGAGCAGAAGGGGCAAAGCATACTTGGGAACCACAAGTCTGGTCCCAGCTCCACACCGTACCATCCATGCGATCTTGGGAAAAGCCTCTTCTCCCTTGTCCTCTGTGCAGTGAAAATGTTGTATTATAGATCCCAGTGATTCTCAGATTCTCAGCAGGCTTTCTTTAGAATAGCCCAGGGAACTTTGAAAAAGCCAACCTGTCCCTAAAGAGTCTTAGTTTGGTTCAGGCACCCAGTGCCTCGAGCACACTAGGCAAGTGCCCTGCTACTGAGCCCCACCCAAAGGCTGGTACAGCCCCTTGGTTCAGTGTACAACGCAGTCTCTGCAGGTTTGAGTCCTTGGTCAGCTCTCTGGCTTTCCTCTGTACCTCACTGGGTGCTGCATTAATTCAACTTCCAAAGTGCTAACAGTGACACCGGACACACAGGAAGTGCTCAGTGAACTTGGCTATCATCAGGAAGGGCAAGTGGATGGAAGGGGGACACAGAGCGGGGTATCTTGGTGTAGCTTAGAGATGAGACAGTGGACTCAGTTTCAGCATCTCCTTCCTCCAGGGCTTGCCTGGGGGCCCGGGACCCGTACTGTGGCTGGGACGGGAAACAGCAGCGGTGCAGCACACTCGAGGACAGTGCCAACATGAGCCTCTGGATGCAGAACATCACCACCTGTCCTGTGAGAACCCCACCTGATACCCCCCAGCAGGCTGAGTCCCCTTCCGTAATCAGCATCTGCCAAGTCCCCTGGGAACTCCTGCTTCTCTGCCCAGCCTGACCTGTCTCCTTGCCCCCTTGCGGGTCTGCAGGTGCGAAACATGACCCGGGATGGGGGCTTTGGCCCATGGTCACCTTGGCAGCCTTGTGAACACTTAGATGGAGACAACTCAGGCTCCTGCATGTGCAGGGCCCGATCCTGCGACTCCCCTCAACCCCGCTGTGGGGGCCTTGACTGCCAGGGGCCAGCCATCCACATCGCCAATTGCTCCAGGTATGTGAGGACAGGCTTGACCCAAGTCTGCCTGGGCCGGGTAGGGACAGTCGGGCAAATTGACAATCAGGTAGCCAGGTAGATTGAAAACTCCACCCAGGTTTTGTACAAAGGGTTGGAAACCAATGCTAGGGACCACACAATGGCTGATGTCTGAGGTGGGAAACATGATCCCTGGGAGTTTTTCCACACTAGTAGGAGAGAAGTTTCTGCCTCAGTGGGTCTCTTCAGGCAAAGAGGAAGCTGGACAGGGTGGGAGTCACTTCCAGACAAAGGAAGCTTCAATAAGCCTTGCTATCCTCTACTTGAGGGGCAGTTCTGTAAAGAGTGTGACCGTGGCGAGCAACCTAATCACTGAGTTTCTCTGAGATGTAAAGAGCATGCAACTGCCTGGTACCTGTCATGCTTAAACAACAACTAAGTCATAATTTTCTATACTCTTAAATAACTATCTCCTAGGTGTTCACTAATTTAATCCTTACTACAGCCCCCAAGGGAATACAATCATTAGTCTTACTTTTTTGTTTTATTTCGTTTGGGTTTTTTGAGACAAGGTCTTGCTATATAGCTCAGGTCGGCCTCTGAACTCATTAGTCTAGGCTAGTCTGAAACTCAAGGCAGTGCTCCTGCCTCAGCTTCCCAGGAGCTGGGGTTACATGTGTGCACCACTACGCCAGGCTCTAGTCTTACTTTAAAAATAAGGGTACCAGTAACGAGTGGACCCCATATTTGATCACTGGAGTCCAAGTGCATGAGCGTACATGGCAGCGTGAACAGGTTTGTGTGCAAGGCCCTGCCAGCCGAGAAGGACGGAAGGCCGCAGATTGAACTGGGACCTCTGTGAGTGTCCTCTTGCCCATGTGCATAGGCGCCTTTAGTCCCAAGCAAAGGACGCTACGGAAGACTTTCAGTCCCAGTCCGAGGCACGAATGAGCAAACAGCTGAACGCATGGGTTGGCCTGAGACGGCCCGGTTAGGATATCTTCTGTCCTTGTCCCTTCTTGACAATCTTACAAAATCCATTGCCCAGACACACGCCGACAAGCAGCTAGGGATCAGAGGGACACATGTCTGTCTCCTCCCACTCCACCAGGAACGGGGCATGGACCTCATGGTCGTCGTGGGCGCAGTGCAGCACGTCCTGTGGGATCGGATTCCAGGTCCGCCAGCGAAGCTGCAGCAACCCCGCACCCCGCCACGGGGGCCGCATCTGTGTGGGCAAGAGCCGCGAGGAGCGGTGAGCGCGGCTGGGGGGTTTTCACAACAAAGGCACCTGGATTCTCCGAGTGACCCCGGGGACGCTTGTCCTTGCGCACTCCTGGCGACCGCCCAGGGTGACAACCCTCTTCCACCTCCCCAGGTTCTGTAATGAAAACACGCCTTGCCCGGTGCCCATTTTCTGGGCCTCCTGGGGCTCCTGGAGCAAGTGCAGCAACAACTGCGGGGGCGGCGTGCAGTCGCGGCGTCGGACCTGCGAGAACGGCAACTCCTGCGCGGGCTGCGGCGTGGTGAGGGGCGCGGGGGCGCGGGGCGCGGGGCGCGGGGCGCGGGGCCGCGGGGCTCTGAAACCACCCCCACCCCGAAGGAGTTCAAGACGTGCAACCCCGAGGGCTGCCCCGAGGTGCGGCGCAACACGCCGTGGACGCCGTGGCTGCCCGTGAACGTGACGCAGGGCGGGGCGCGGCAGGAGCAGCGCTTCCGCTTCACGTGCCGCGCGCCCCTGCCCGACCCCCACGGCCTGCAGTTTGGCCGGAGAAGGACGGAGACGCGAACGTGCCCGGCCGACGGCTCCGGGGGCTGCGACACCGACGGTACAGCCCGGCCCTGCGCCGCGCGCCGCGGGGACCAGGATGGGGATGGGGACGGGGATGGGGACGGGACGGGACGGGCGGGGAGCGGGGGCGGGGAGGCCCGGGCCCGGACGCGCCCGCCCGCTGAGTGCCGCCGTCCCCAGCCCTGGTGCAGGATCTCTTGCGCAGCGGCAGCGCCTCCCCGCACACGCTGAACGGGGGCTGGGCCGCCTGGGGCCCCTGGTCGTCCTGTTCCCGGGACTGCGAGCTGGGCTTCCGCGTCCGCAAGAGAACGTGCACCAACCCGGAGCCCCGCAACGGAGGTCTGCCCTGCGTGGGCGACGCCGCCGAGTACCAGGACTGCAACCCGCAGGCTTGCCCAGGTACCCGGGCGGGTGAACGCTTGCCTAGGGAAACCCTCGCCCAGGGACTCTCAGGGCCTCCTGGGAGCCCCGTGCCCAGCCGACCCTTCTTCCCTGCCAGCTCTGTGCACGGGCCCGGAGCAGTGCTTTCCCCCGACCTGGGATGCAGTGGCTGCCCCGCGGAGTGAGGCCTCTCCTCACTTGCCTCGCTTTGCCCTCTCCCTTGAGGAACCAGCCTGATTGCAGTGCAGCGGGTTTCGTTCCCTGGGGTGTCTGCTGGTGCCTTTCCCCTGCCACCCCTGGAGGAGGGACAGCCCCTGGCCTGTTGAGAGGGGGCCGGGTGGACACTGAGGTCACTCAGGCCCAGGCAGCCCCTCCCCTCATACAAGCCCACCACTTGCAGTGCGGGGTGCTTGGTCCTGCTGGACCTCGTGGTCCCAGTGTTCAGCCTCCTGCGGTGGGGGCCACTATCAGCGCACACGTTCCTGCACCAGCCCAGCGCCCTCCCCAGGTGAGGACATCTGTCTCGGGCTGCACACGGAGGAGGCGCTATGCGCCACACAGGCCTGCCCAGGTACTGGGTGCATTTGGCCCTGGCTGGGAACATCAAGGAGCCTCTGATCCCCAGCAGGGGTTGGTGCTGGAGCACTCAACCTCATCCCGCCCTACACCCCGCAGAAGGCTGGTCGCCGTGGTCTGAGTGGGGTGTATGCGCTGAGGATGGAGCCCAGAGCCGCAGCCGGCGCTGCGAGGAGCTTGTCCCAGGGCCTGCTACCTGTGCTGGCAACAGCAGCCAGAGCCGCCCCTGCCCCTACAGTGAGATTCCGGGTATGTCCTTGCTCAGCACCTTCGCGCCACCTTTCCCACCTGAGCTCCCAGCTTCCTTTACTTCTGAAGCTTGAGTCCTGAGGCAGCGGCGGTGCAGGATAAGACTTCAGAGGCAGTGCACTTCCTCACCTGGTGCACATTTAGGGCTCTGGCACTCTGCATCTAGTGAGTGGGCCCGAGCTTTATACAGGAGGGGCTCTGCAGAGAGGCAGAGGGAGCGAAGGCCTCAGGTACCGTCCTCCAGCTCACTGAGGACCAAACTGCTCCTGCCCAGCAGGGAAGCCTGACCCCTCCACTCTGTCCTAACACCTTCTCTGCTTCTCTTTCTACAGTAATCCTGCCTGCCTCGAGTGTAGAGGAGGCTGCTGGCTGTGGAGGTAAAAGAAGCCACTCATGATGCTGTCCTTCTACCTCGCCCCAAAGTCTGGATTCTTCCTACCTCCTGCTCCAGATGGTCATGCCTGGTGGGGGTCATATCGCTTCAATGTGCTGTGCAGGGAGATCTGGGCAGTTCCATCCATGTTCTCCAGCTAGGGGCCATCATCAGCCTGTATCCAAGGGAGTTACCCTCTCCAGATCCTCTAATTGCCACCTGTGATCCAAGCCACTTGTGGTGCTGTAGGCCCCTGGTGACAGGCTGCCCAGTCTCCTGCTTTGCTTTCACTCTGGTCCCAAATCCCTCTCTTTCTTTTATGTCCTGGAGTGTTCTATTGCAATTTTTGTTCCCAAGAAGGCCCTTTTCTTACCACTTGTCTGTCCCCCTCCAGGGTTTAGTCTCATCCACCTGGTGGCCACAGGTGTCTCCTGCTTCCTGGGCTCTGGGCTTCTGACCATGGCAGTTTACCTGTGTTGCCAGCACTGCCAGCGCCAGTCTCAGGAGTCCACACTTGTCCACCCTGCCACTCCCAACCACCTGCACTACAAGGGCGGGGGCACCCCCAAGAACGAGAAGTACACCCCTATGGAGTTCAAGGTGGGCACCTTCTTGTAGAAGCAGAGCAGGGAGATGGTTACAGTGGTTCTGGCTCTAAGTGGGCATAAGGGGTGGGCAGGGGGAAGAAGCAGCAGTGGGTTGGAGGAGCCTACATCTACTGCTGGAGGGTCTCGTCACTGGCTGGCGTCCGGACTCCTTGCCCTGCACTGTCTTCTGCCCATCTCTCCCCTCACCTGCTTCCTCCTTCATTCCACAGACCCTGAACAAGAGTAACCTGATTCCTGATGACAGAGCCAACTTCTACCCCCTGCAGCAGACCAATGTGTATACGACCACCTACTACCCCAGCCCCCTACACAAGACCAGCTTCCGGCCCGAGGCCTCGCCTGGACAGCGGTGCTTTCCCAACAGCTGATCCAACCGTCCTGGGACTTGGGGTCCTTGCCTTCCCAAGGCACAGAGCAGTGGAGATGGGACAGTGGAGCCACTTTGGTGTTCCCCCTCTGTGCTAGGCCAGGAACTCACTGCCTGGTCAGTGCGGGTCCCATCTGGCTTCAGAGAGCTCTGGCTGGCAGTGACCACGGGGAAAAGGGCTGGCCTCGGGCTGTCACGTGGCTGTGGATCCAGCGCAGCCCAGGTCTGTCGTGGCTTCCTTGTGACCCTCCATCACGCTGAGCCTCCCCTGCCAGGTCTGAGCTGTGGACCCACTGAGCATGTGAGGATTTGGAGAGTGGAGAAGGCAAGGGGCAGGCCCTTAGGTTTGGGGTGGAAGTGACTTCCAGTGGCCACCATAAGCCAAATCTGCCCTTCTCTGGCTGGCCCCAAAACAGACTTGGGCTACCACGGTTCTCATATCCAGATTGTCTCTGAAAGGAACTAGTCAAATGGCCCGGGAGCTCTGGATCCCCACCCAGGACTGGACCATTGTGGTGCTGCCCAGTGTGACACGGGGCCAAGCTGGCCCAGGCTGTCCACTTCTGACCAGCAGTTTGTATTTGGGTCAGGATCATCCTTCTGGTCAGAGAGGATGAGGACTGGGAACTGAAGGCTGGACTCCGCTGAGAAGCCCTTAGATCCAGCCTGGCACAGGCCTTGCCTCACCCTCAGAATGGTTGAAAGGTGGCCAGGAAGTCGGAAGGCTCGAGACCACGGAAGCCAGTGCCTGGCCTCTGTGCCTCTACAGAAACCCCTTCCTGCTGCTGCTCAACAGAACTGTTGGCTGGGACTTACTTGGGAGTCTCTGCTGGCCCTTCATCGATTCAGGAACACACACAATCACCACCTGCTACAGCAACGAAGAGGATCTTGGGCTGTGGCATTGTTAATTAAAGATGATACCCAGTTTCCACACGCAACTCTGTCTGTGTGCATAAGTCTGTGGGCCCCTCTTGGCACAGCCTAGTCCATCAGGGAAGACAGATGGTTTCTCGAGGTGTAGGAAGTGACCCAAGCAGCATTTGACTTTAACAGAGGATATCTTTCCACGTGTGGGTTTACACACACACACACACACACACACACACACACACACAGTGCATAATCCATTTTCTGCAGGAGCTTGGGGCTAGATAAATTTACAAGGGTGTTACAAGGTACCCCAAGACAAGCTACAGAGAGCCTTCTGCCTGTTCTGTCTGCAGCTCTTCCTGGTAGCAGCTCAGGCTGGAGATGGGCGAGTCCAGCAGGAGAGTGTTGATAAGGAATATTTTATGAAGTCTGTTCAATGCTGAGTTTAATAAAACCAAATTGAGAAATGAGTAAACCTATGAAGTTGGGGGGCCTAATGTAGTTTCTGCTGGATTAAATAAAAACTTCAGAGCTTCAGCCCACCAAATCAGTGCTGCCATGTTGGGTGAGATTGATGGACATGTTAAATTTGGAGAGCAATTTCCTGACTTACTTGGCTGGATCAAGTCTCCTAAGAGTCCCAGCAGAATCTAATTGTAGGTAGGCTATCAAGCCTGCTGGGTGGTAGAGGGAGTAGAGGAAGGAGTGCTTGAATTCTGAAAGTGTTGAAAGGGAGGAGGGGGAGGAGGACAGGATATATCTCAGACAACTAAACAGTGTCCCTGGGCCAGGAGGGTTCAGGGAGTATATGATTATTTGCAGCTTTAGGATTCCTGAAGTGGTTCCTGTTAGCCCCAGAGTTGGGAGCTTATGGGGGCCTGCAGGGCAATTTAGATCCTGGGATTGTAGATTCCCTTGGGTGTGGTAGATGCAGTGAAGGTCAAGAATATTCAGGGTCCAGGGTATCTGCCATGTCTAAGTGGAGACACTGGGAAGGTCTGTAGGAAGTGGTCATATGATTTCCCAGCTAATGCCCACCCTCTTTTGGGTGCCATGGCCTTTGGAGGCATGACCAGTCAGAATGCATGAGAGGCTCCACACTGCATACAGATGAGCCACGTGATTGCCAGAGCTTCTCCAGGACTAGCCCAGGCCCAGAGCTGGTCCCCCTCAGAGTGCTCCCTGACAAGGAGGCTGGAGTCAGGGAGCCGAACTGCATGGAACAAGTGAACTTCTCCAACCCAAAAGGCATAGCAAGACTGAGGAAGATGCCAGGAGCCAGAGCCCCAGCCCTTTTTGGATTCTTTGGCATTTAACTCTGTGTGTGTGTGTGTGTGTGTGTGTGTGTGTGTGTGTGTACTTATTATCAAAGTCATGCGTATTCATTGCAGAAAACTTAGTTTGCAGGAAACCAAACATCTTACCATGTTATACTAGAAACCAAAGTAGAGACTTAAGGATTTTAAATGGTAGTGTGAAGACATTTCTTTCCCTTTTTAAAAAGTTACCGCAAAAGCAAAGACAATAAAAGACAAAAGCTCTGTCATTAAATTTCAATAAAATTAGGATGTAACTACAATCCCAAAGTCATAACATAAGTCATCCCTCAGTATTCTCTGAGATTTCATTCCAGGACACCTACCGTAAGAAAATTTGTGCACGCTCAAGTCCTTTACATAAAATGGAGTAGAGTTTGCATGTAAGTTACACAGTCCAACTGTATACTTAAAATCACCTCTAGGTTACTTAGAATACCTAATGGATTTTAAATGATACTATTACCCTCTATTGTTAAAGGAATAATAAGATAATAAGGGAATAATAGGGAAAAAAGTTATGTATATTCAGTACAGATGCACCCCCCTCCAATATTTCCTTCCCATCCACAATTGGTATAATCTGTGGATGGAGAACCTGTAAATAGGGTCATCTGTCTGTGAAGACAGAAAGCAAATGGAATAACAGTAGTCATCTGGTAGACTGGATGTGGGTCAAGCCTAAGTACCTAAAGGATTTCAAAAAGAATCAGAAATTGAAAGAAACAAGAATGAGAACGATAGGGACTGAAAAGAGGGATTTGTTGAAAATCCATTTGTAAGCTTCAGCTGAACCTTTAAGTTGTCTTCACTGTCTACCCTTACTGCCTGTACTTCCCCCTTCCCACAGAGGACAATAAGTATATTCCCTTGACTCATTGAACCAGAGAGGCTATGGACATAAGAAGACCAAGCACAGGGCTGGATGTGTGATGAGGGGCTGTTTGGAGAATGGTGGAAAGGGTAAGAGGATGGACAGTGATCATCAATGGGATCTAGCCATTGCCTTTTCTAGCTAACTCCAACTCTCAAGTAACTAAGCTTCTCCTCCTCCTCCTTCTCCTCCTCCTCTCCCTTCAAGCTGGAGATTGGATGATGGCTTTCTGAAGAAACATCTATGCTCCATAGATTCTAAAGTAAGCCTGCTGGTCATCCATGCAACACTCTTACAGCCAAGAACAGTCACTTGTAAACCATGCCCTGTACAGTGAGCTTGCAGTCAGCTTACTGGGAGATAAGGATCCCAAACACCAGAGAAAAATGCCCAACATGAGAGACCAACCCAATAAACAGATAAAGAGCAGTGAAAGCAGAGACAACAGAGAGAGAATGCTTCAAAGACACCCCACCTGTTCAGAAGAAAGGAAAGATACTGAGTTCATGAAAAAGAGAATCCAATGTAAAAGTAAAATCCTCCTAGAAATTAAAAATGAAACAGCAGAAAACCAATTAGAGTTTAAAGAAAAAGTAAAGGAAATTTCCCAGCTAGTTGAACAGTAAGATAAAGTGATGGAATATGAGAAAGGAGAAGATAAGAATTAGAGGCTCAAGCCAGGAAATCTAATAATTCATGAAAAAACACAGAAGAAGAAATTGTGAAAGAAAGAATAAAGGAGGTCCAGGGGTATAGCTCAGCAGCATAAGCACCTGCTTGGCAAGCACAAGGTCCTGAGTTCGATTCCCGATGCCAAAGGAAAAAAAAAAAGAAAGAATAAAGGAAAATTTATCAGACCTAAAAGATGGGAGTCTTCAATAAAGGACCCACTCAGGACATATCACCACAAATGAAAAAGATCTATCTTGAGTTATATGAACAGGGCCTTCAAAACACCAGGCTTAGAGAGAGTCCAGCAAGAAAGAAAATGTGGAATATGTATGGTACAAAACCTCTTACTAATAAAATTTGAAACTAGAATACAGTGGATATTGCCCTCAAAAATTCTGGAGTAAAAATGACATTTAATTGCAAATTCTATAACCAGCAAAACTATGAGTCAAATTAGAGGAGAATAAAGACATTTTCAGATACGGACAGTCTGAAAAAAATAGATCCCACATTAGCCCTTGTTTTACTAAAATACAGAAAGAGGGTGAAGAGGTATATTAAGCCAATAGCCACAAAATAGGCCTAGAGAGCAGCTGACCCGACTTGTACCAAAGGATCACAGGCATCCCACAGGATCCAGAAGGAAATGGAACTAGTGACGTGGCAGATTTGTGTGGAAAGTTACATGATGATTTACTTCACAAAACCATCAGAGGGTGCATATAAAGACTTAAATTTGCATTCAAAGGGACTAAAATAAAAAGTATGGTTTTTATTCTTGCTGCATGATTCATTTAAACTTTTAAATTTATATTTCTTGTAAACTAAAACACAGGTACAGAAAAAGCCATGCAAACCAAAAATACAGCCTAGTGAACATAGTGCAACATCCTCCCCCTTTTTGTGTGTCTTTTTGAGACAGGGTCTCACTATGTAGTTCAGGCTGGTCTTGAACTTACAGTGATCCTCCTGCCTCAGCCTCCATGCTGGGATTATAGGTGTGTGCCACCACGCCTGGTTGTGAAATCCCTTTATAAGAACCATCCAAGTCATGATAGTTAACTGTGGTGTCAACTTGAATAAGAAATATCCAGCTGATTGGGTTAGCAAGTTCTGGATGTGTCTGGATGATAGAAGAGGGAAGACCCTTCTGAGTGTGGACGGCACCAACCCATGGGTTTTTAGCCTGAATGAAATAAAAGGGAAAGAAGGAAAGCTCTCTTCTGTTTTTTCAGAGGAGCTCCAGTCTTCACCACCACCTTTGGACATCTGTCTCCAAGCTTTCAGCACAGACTCTTCAGCCTTATAGCACAGATCCTTTGGCTTCCTGGCACAGACTTGCATGGGGCTCTGCACTGAGCTCCAAGTCTTTGGCTTTTGACTAGATCCTTCAGACCTTCAGCATGCAGATGGCTGGCCCTTCTGCATTCTTCCACATCTGCCTCTGTAGGGGGCCATTGTCAGCTCACTTTTTAATATATCTATCTCTTAAATATGTCCCTTTAGTGAATACTGACCAATACGCTGGTTAACAAATAGAACACTGACAACCACCCCGGGATTCTTCACTGGATCCTATCCCTGTCCTACTCTCTTCCTTCCAACAATGAAATAATTGCCAGCACTAGGAAAAACAAAAGAGCATGAGGAAAGGAAAGGTTGTTTTTGTTCACCCCTTGGTTAGACCATGAGCTTACTTACATAATAATAGAATTTAAATATTGTCTGCAGACTCAATCAGAATTCTTATTTTATCATTTATTATCAGGGAATAGCAACACAGAGGACAAGTTTTCATGCTTTTGGTGCCAACTGAATGTTGGGGTGAATATTGGGAGTGAAAAAAATAAAAACCTCTTAATTAATTTTGGCCCTGACTGTAATCACAGTAGCTGTTCATAAAGAGATGTTGGGAACAGAAGTGCACACACATTTCCTGGCATGTGATACGGCCGAAGCAGGACTTGCTTGAGGCTGCACCACATGGTTTGGCCCTTGTACTTCCAAAGCATGTGGAGCCTCCTTTCATAAGTTAGAAAACAAGCAAGGAAATACATAGATTTTGGAAAATAAAGACAAAAGTCTACTAAAAATAAAATAAAAAACGGCAGAAGGAAAGGAGGGAGGGAGAGAGATGGAGGGAGGGAGAGAGAGAGAGAAAGAGAGAGAGAACTTTGGAAGATAAAAGCAAAAAACTAATTAAAGA